CTTTCGGCAAACGAAATTTTGTCGCTATTATTTTTTATTCATTTTATTTTATTCTTTTTTTTCCTGTTTTTTTCGTACTTATCGCGCGAAGCGCACACGCTCGCTCTCTTCAGTTTAATCGCCGCGAGATACCGGTTGCATAGAATTACAACCTCGTCGCGATATAAATTGCTCTGCTAAGAATGCGACTTGATGAGGTTCTTCTCAGACTCATAGAGATAATACCAGCATCGAATGAACCATTATAAAAAAAAGAGAGGCGCAGTTGAGAAAAATCTTGGTACTAGTCGATCTTATTAGCGAAAATTAATAGAATGTAAAAAATAAACAAGAATCTATTCGATTTCTACTTATTGACCTCGCGGTTCTGATCACGACAGATTGAAGCGTCGCCTTCTCTGGATTTGTACATTGATACAATTTGCGGATTAGACCGATAACAACAGACAAATCGCTATTTAAGCAGCTGCTGCTATTCCGATCGTTCAGGTCGCGACATCGGGATATCAAACTTGCGCGTTCACACTTGTCAAAGTTCGTCGGCGGATAATTCCCGTCGTATGCGTGTACCCCGCATTTTTTTCTCGTCGCTGACTTCATCGTTAATATCAAGCGATTCTAAGAACGACCAATTTCTATCAATTTTCTTTTTTTTGCGTTAAAAAATGAACTAAATGAAGCAACGCGAATCGTTTAATCGAACGAACTATTCGATTGTCCAAATGTAAGTATTTTAAGATCTGTATTAGTATGGATTAAGTTCAATCGTTAGCATTAAAAAAATTTAAATTCTATTCATCAAATTCTATTCGTTAATTTAATATTGTCTATTCATTAAATTCTGAAATTACAAATTTTTAAAGTAAATGTTATAATTGTATATTTTATTCCTGTGTGGTATTTTAACGCGAATAATATAAGAATTTATACCAAGATAAAAATTTTTTAATAAAAATTTATTATAAGCAAAATTTTATTTTATCGAGCGAATTTTATTCATTCATATCGAAATAAAATTTTATATCTTCCTCTGGCAATCATTTTAATTAAAATAGGTTAAACGCATATATGTACGCGATAAATCTTTTGTTTTTGTCACCAGAATGTTTGAGAAAAAAGATGGAGGAGAGGTAAAGCGTTTATTCGCATTCCTTTCACGACGTATTGACGAATGTCATCAGCTATTGATAGCAATTTGATAAGATATTCAAATTTGGGTCTCTATTCATCAGTCGTGACAGAGAGATAAAACTGGCGACCGTGAATGAAAGTAAGAGACAAATGCAATTAGCATTATGTCTTGAAACTCGGTTATCACCAATTTGTCTGATAAGAACAATTCATCGGTCACGTGTGTATGCGTTGTAGTAAATTTAATTTCAGACATCGAGACTTGATTCGGAAATTGTGGTTTTAGATATTCAATTCTTTACGTTAAGAATCTTAAGAGAAAAATTATAATTATTTATATTCAACCATTTGTATTTTCCACCATTTATTATCGTAATAATTTACGACTTTCTTTCAGTTTCTTGCGTGAAACTCATAAGACTTGCAGTTGACAGCTATTTACACAACTTCGACAATTTGAACGATCTCTCACTTGTCACGATAGCATTCACTATCGGGAAAAATCAGTGAAAAAGAAAATCAATTGTGCCTTTTACAGCACCGTTCATACACCACTTACTCGAGAACGGCGAGATTCAGTCTGGTCCAAATCGAGGACTATCTTCTTCGGTGACTGTCGGTTCGCATGTGCCTTGGGCGGCCGAGAACAATTGCGGTGGATTGTGACGAGTAGACGAAAAAAAAGAAGAAAAAAATTTAAAAAAATAATTATATTCAACGGGAAGGGCTCGGCTGATCGAGATGTGGGATCACCTCGCGATCGAGGAAGATCACGGGAAAGAGAGAAAGAGAACACCGCCGGTGCTGGCGGCTCGAAAGCGCGAGCCTAACTGACCCGCGGAGACGAGAGGTAAACGCAAGCTAAACTAAGTCTCGGTATCACAATTCGGTTCGAACCGCCAAGCGAAGGAGCGGAGAGCAGCGGCACGACCGAGCGACATGTGTGAGACGCGATCGGCATGGTCTACCACCCACCGGATCTCCTTGCCGCTCGGCGTCTTCTTCTGTCGTTCCCCGTCATCGCCAGGATGACGAAGGCGCGGAATGATGACGGCCGTCGAAGACGGGAAGGCAAACCCGCGAACGGTAATGCGTGTCGTAGCCGCAAATCGCGAGTGGAAGAGATTGCGGAAAACCGCGCGGTGTCCATAAGATAGATCGACGAAGGACGAAGGTGGTATTTCCTGGTATTTTCCGACACGACGAGCCAGCGATGATTGCCATGAAATTTGAACTAAGCGGTCGGTGTTTATCTCAGAGATGCCGTAAAATTTTCGAGAAACCGCGCCAGGGACTAGTTGACTAAGGTCCGATTGCACCAACGGTTTATTTTGATCTTAAGCAGAGTTTAAAACTCTCTCTCTCTCTCTCTCTCTCTTCTTTCTCTCTTTCTATTTTTCTTTTCCTTTCTTTTCATTTTGATTCTTTTTATTTTATTAGATTATTATTTACATCTTACTTTTTTTTAAGTCTTAAGAAAGAGAAAGAGAGTTTTAAGCCTCGCTTAAAGTCAAAATAACGTTGGTGCAATCGAGCCTAAGCCTCTCAAAGTGCCAGTCCTATAGTTAAAGTTATATTTCGAGCCTATTTCTAGAACCAGGCGACCCTCCGGCATCGCTATCGGACACTTCTGTATGAAGACGCTGATAGCATCTACTGGTTCATGCTGGCTAATCCCACTTTTAGGAGCGCGTGTATATCTAATTAATAGTCAAGGATCCACGATTGATACTCACTCGGCGAGCGCACTTGATCTGAAATAGGAGGTCAATCTCTCTACCGTCTATCCATGCAACTATTCAACATCATATGGACGTACAATCCAGTAAACGTCTTTCGTTATACGTAGAGGGAAGTCACCGATGCCGACATACCACTTTGTTTTTGGACAATATTTCTTAAACAAAAAGTAAAAATAAAACTTTAAAAATATAAGCACAAATTAAAAAGTACCTTCTATCAGATAAGCAGATTTTATAATATTGTTTGCAATTTTGCAATAATTAATTTTTTCGTAAGATAAGCAAAAATGAGCCTCTGACAAAATGGGCTCCAAAACTGATACAGTAAGCAGTAATGCTACGTATTCCTATTTTTTTTTCTTTTACAGGAATTATTTTTATATAAAGTATCTACAAGTAAATGTATATAAGATTTTCCAGAATCTTTTCATTTCGTTATAAAACATTTTTATTGAATTATATGCATATTTACTTTATGCTGTTCTGCAAGATGCAAATATATGTAACGCGATAGTTTTTCAAGAATTTTTCCATATATGCACGATTGCCTTCAGCTCCAATAGAGCTATTTGACACTATAAAGCAACATTATAAAGACTAAGTTAGTTCATGATCTGTTTTACAAATAGGTATGGCGGTATACACTGCACCCTAATTTTTAATTTAAAATCGTATTATGAAAAAACTGTGAGAAAAAATAATGTAAATAAAACTGATTCTGTAAACTACAAGCATTTAAAACAACGTAATATTATCAATAATATAGTCACTATTATTTAAACTACGCAATTTGCAAAAAAAAATCGTAAGAATTTTATTTTCGCATTCGTAGAATTCGTTTTTAGCTGATTTGGTACAGAAACAAACCACAAATATACGAATTATGAGTTTGTACTTCTTTAGTTAGCTAAACAGATTATGATTTTATTAGTATTAATAAAGTGCAATAGTTAGTTTATGAGAAATAAGGGGGTGTCGCTTTAGGATACCTACGTCAGTATCGGCGACTTTCCTCTCTACAATGTACCAAAAATGTCTAGACATTATTATTACCTGCAATCCCATCAAATAACACAGATAATTCTGAAATTCTTCTTTTCTGATCTATAAGTTTTTAAGAACAAAGAGAGGGTACATACGACATCTATGTATACGCGATGCGACGTCGATTCCCAGTGAGAAATGACTCATTGAATTGATCTGGAATCGACATTGATACGATGAATTCGATATCGATTGGATATCTAATTGACGATCATTTCTCACTGGATTGTTGCACGAGTCTCTCTCTCTCTCTCTCTCTCTCTCTCTCTCCTCTCTCACCCCCTCTTTTTCTCTCTTTCTCTCTTTCTATTGACAGACACAGGACGTCGACGACAAGAGATCTCGAAATTGCATCCGGGATCAATTTTGGAGAAAAAGGTCTATCTTAATTTTTGGTTGATCTAAAACGCGAGTCTGAGATCGACGAATAACACGGAAGTGCTGAAATCTGTATCGGTTTCATTTTGTCGATCGGATCTGCCAAAACCAGCCCACTTCCGACAGGATTCGTCATTTTCGAGACGCGCGCAAAGACTCGGCGATTATTCCAGGGAAGATAAACTTTATGGTCCGGATGCTGAAAGGTTCACCCGCGCCCGCGTTTTCCGCGAAAAGGTGCCGAGAAAAGGTGAGCTATTCCGGGAGGGCGATATCATCGCATAAGAATGACAAGAATGACAAGAATGACAAGAATGACAAGAATGACAAAGAATACCACGCGACAGAAAGTCGCGGAAAGCGTGACGTGAAATATTTTATAAATTTTGGATATTAAAGATAATTAAAATACATTTAATAATCTAATAAGATATTATACATAATACATTTCGACTAACATAGAGTATTCATTAATTCCGAATTTAACTAAAAAATATATATAGAGAAGAAGGTGGTATTATGGCCAATATATATATATTCCTTCCTTAATATCTCCGTTATTATACAGCGAATCCTAATGATTACTTATGGAATTATTAGTTCAGTAGCTCGCCATTACACCGTGACGCTAATATTATTAATACTCAATAACCAGCATTTATTATAACGTATTTTTACTTTCAAGTATTTCGAAACGTTTCTGAGGTACACTTTAGTATTTTAATTACACCTACTTCCTCATTTTTTTTAAACTTGAGTGTATTATCACATGAATATATGTATTTTTGAGTATTATTTGCTATTCAACATTTTATTTGACTATATATATATATTTTGAGTTATGCAAATTTAAACAATATCATGGCATTTTGCTAATCGTGTGGCCTTCTATGGATATTGATTACTCACGACCTCTTTTTTGAGGTTTTCATATCAAAATAATTATTTGATAATCGATTGTAGCTCTAATGTTAATCTATAGTTTATATATTACGTGTACTATTTTTAGTACTGAGCAGCTTATATACAAAAGTTATGTGAATCTATATACATTCAGTTACATACATTTTAAAATGTTTTACTGTTTTCTTAATTTTGTAACCAAATACTGTTTTCTAAACAAAATTAATATTTTAAGGCTATTTTTATGGAAGGTCACATTACCCATTTTTTTTCTTAGAGTTATTATGCAATGTCGTTACATTTTTATTAATAGTATCCTAAGTAATAAATATTTCGTAACTTTGAGTCCAGAATCGATTCAACAACATTTTAACGAATGTAATTGTCAAGTTTTAAACCTAAATATTAATTATTAACAAAGTTATTGTGTAAAATGTAACTGGGATGCCATAATATCACCTTCTCTATAAAATTAAGAAGAATAATATTACACAGTTATACTAAAATAACTTGTAAAGTGAACAATGAGAGGCCAAATCAAATCAGATAAAACGATTTTCCTTATTAAAATTTTTTTAATATAATAATTGTGAAAATTATGTAATCATCCACATATCGTTAAGGGGATTACAGATTACAGAGGATAGGATTTGAGTTTGGTGCGAATAAAATAATAGACTCACGTTCGCGCTCGCTTCGAAAGGATGCCAACGATGCAGATCGCGAATTGTTATCATATTATGATTAAACATAGATTCACGCAGCTGAAATGTTGATACTCAATGCTGATAACAACGACGTTCGCGAACAAACATCTCTAAATATAAAGCGGACATTTTTCGAGCAAATGCAGAATATCGCTCAGGCGGCAAAGAAAAAAAAACAATAATGAACGTATTTTTGTGTCTTCGCCTTGCTCTTATTCGCGCGATCTAATTTCGAAGTTCGAAGTATTTAAGACGATATTTTTTCATATACCTTGATACCGAAAACTTTTTGAATCGCGTTCGTAAAACCATGACGCGCGAATACTGGAATGCTTATCAAATTCGTACGATTGTCACGTCGACAAATGATTATAATAACCCGCTAGTCAGATAATTTTGCCAGCGGTTTAATTGACGATGACGAATTCATCGAGAATGCCGGCAAACGGACATTATGTAAATAAACCGATCGGTCTTTCACTAGCTGCGTTCAGCAAAAGAAATAGTTTTGCAACTGTTATTATTATTATTAATTTTGCAACTATTGTAAGATTCTTTAACTCTTTATTGTTAGTACACACAATTGGGTCATTCGTGTCCTGCTTATTTGTTTTCTTTGAAGTACTAGGAGCCTCAATTAATTAATTATAACCTCTATATACAATTTTTTAAATACATGACATTATAAATACTTTCTAAGGTGTTAAAATATACGTAAAAGTCATTTAATAATTTTTATATACTTGTAAAAGTGATGAAAATTAAGAACATGAATAATCAGAAAATTATCATGTATACTAATTAGTAATATTATAGTAAGTATTAATATGATAGATCCTTGTTCTTAGTTCCTTGTTGGATCTAAATGTATAACTAATCATATTAAAGAGTCTTAAAGCAGTTACAAAGCTGCTTTTTCTGCTGAATGCAGCTACTATATTTACACGTGAAGTAGGAAGTACGTGGCTCTATAAAAATATTTAATATCCGAAATATCACATAAATAAGAGAAAAAAAATTATAGATACCTTAAGTGGAATTTTGAATAATAATTTACATGCAAGTCAAAGGAAAAAAAAGATAAAAAAACCGGGCTCGTCCGGGATTTGAACCCGGGACCTCTCGCACCCTAAGCGAGAATCATACCCCTAGACCAACGAGCCACTTCTTATGAGGTCCTGCCTTCGAAAGG